GCTGGAGTTGGCTAGGCAGGACTGCCGTGGGGTCTGGGGATTGCGGGGCTGACGCAGACCGCAGGGCGTCAGGGTTGTTTGGGGTCTGCAAGGATTAACGACGGTTCTCTTCCTCCTCAGTATGAGACGGCCCTGGAGAGCGAGAGTGCTGGCAGCCTTCAGCAAATGGCCTACCACACCGTGAACCGCCGTTACCGGGAGTTCCTGAACCTCCAGACCAGGCTGGAGGAGAAACCGGAGCTCCGCAAGTTCCTGAAAAGTTAGTGCTCGTGTTGCCTTTCTGTAAAAATCCTTTCCTCCCTCAACCCAGTGTGTGCCCATTTCCGTTGCTGCTTGTAACAGGTATCCTCTTACAAAGGTGTGCGTTCCCTGCACGCAGGGAGACCTGGATACGATGAGCTAAAAGAAAGCTTTGCCCTTTGTGGGAAGGAGGAAGGAGATTAAGGATTTCCTGCTCTGGGGATTTCCTGCTCTGCCTGTGCAGGCCTGTATGCTGGTTATTTGTGACGATGCCCTTGTCGCTGCTGTTCTCTGCCGAGCTGGCTGGAGGAGGGATTTCTCATCAGCAGCAAATTGTAGTGCTTCAAAACATATCCTAGCTCCCATTCAGATCACAATGCCTGATTTTGCAGTTTTGCAACTTCACCAGTGACCAAAACACCACGATGCTTTTATTTGCAAATGTCTGGTTTGCGTACAAGTAGAGTAATAAGTGTTGAACATAAGCTTTTTGAAAAAGAAGCCAGTGGTTGTTCTCAAACTCCTGTTTAAAAGTCATTGGATTTAGCGTGTCCCTACAAAATCCTTAGATTTTGATAGATATGCGTTTTTGGATGGAAAATTGTTTTCCTAAAAACTTTTGGGCTGTTTGTCTGGATGTTCTGGAGCCTGTCTGTGCTGATGCATTTTTCTCGAGTTTAATTATGGGTGCATTTCATTTGAAGATATCAAAGGCCCAAAGAAACTGTTCCCTGATCTCCCATTTGGAAACATGGACAGCGATAAGGTGGAAGCCAGAAAAAGTCTCCTAGAATCTTTCTTGAAGGTGAGATACCTGCTGGTGTACCTGCGTGGCAGCCACCACCTCCCCTGGCTGCTGACTTGATTCTTCAAGTTCCCTCTCCTTGGGTGCAGTGGTCAGATCAATGCTGATGTGTTAGAATTAAGGGTTGAGAGCTGGGCTCTTGTGCTGGCTGCTGGTGGTTTTTTTAAACTCTAATCTTTTAAATTTTCAACAAGTAGCTACTGGACTGATTTTTACTCTTACTGGAGAAAGTGCAACTAGAAAATACCTGGTGGGTTTTTTTTCCCCTTTGCTGTCTTGATTTGAGCCACAGGGGGGTAACTGCCCTGCTGCATGTTACAGAGGAGGGAAGGCGTGAAGGCATGCTACAGCAGATGCCATTTCATGGCCTGTGGGCCTGTATGAGAGCTCTCAGGTAGGTGGAACGCTTTGGAGATCGTAGCATATTGTTGAGGATCAGAAGTCTATGGCAGGCAACAGAGATAGCTTGCAAACAGATTTTGAATTATGTGTAGCAGGGCCGTGAGCTGATAGCTATAGCTTTCCGAGAGCTGGCAAGCTGTCACATGAGACAGCTCTGTATCCGCAGTGGAGCGCATCAGGTCTTTTCCACCTGCACTGTATATAAGTGAGCTGGGAAGTTGCCTCAGAAAAGACCTAAAGCTACGTCTTCCCTTGCAGCAATTATGTGCAGTCCCTGAGATCGCAAACAGTGAGGAGGTGCAGGAGTTCCTTGCCCTGAACACTGATGCCAGGATCGCGTTCGTCAAGAAGCCCTTCGTTGTCTCCAGGATAGACAAGGTAGACAAGTGGGGAAATGGTTATGTGTGCCTAAATCCTCCTTTCACACGTACCTCTTGGGCTTCATTTTCTGGACGTCGCTGCTGCAGGAGTAGCTGGAAAACCTCAAATACCGTGTTGCTGGGCTGAGCTGGCCCAGAAAGCTAGTGAGAGTCAGAACCTGTCCCACAGAGCTTGAAGTTTTTGATGGAAAATAGGAAGGCGAAGTGGGAGAGTGCAGGTCTGATAACTCTTAATTTGGACTCAAAGACTACTCCCCCAATAATTGATGACACTGCTGGCTTTTGCAGATCGTGGTCAATGCTATTGTGGACACGCTGAAGACAGCGTTCCCGAGATCAGAGCCCCAGAGCCCCACGGAGGATCTTAGCGAGTCAGAAGTGGATGGAAAGTCTCAGACAGATGGGAAGAAGGCTAACAAGTAAGGGCTGTTCTGCAGCTTGCCTCATGCTTTATATAGCGCATGCACTTTATAAATAAACTGACTCTTAAGGTGGAAGTACTGACCTGGTGTTTTAGATGTGGTAAATAACACGTTGCCATCATACTTCAGCTGTATTGCTTTCTCTTTTGAAAGCTGAGCAAGGGTACTTGAGCTCCTGTTTAGATAAGAGATTTTTCCAGGAACACTCTGTTTTTTACAGCAGTTGGTACTGAAGGTTTTCTTCCTTGTGGGTTTCTTTCTGAGGCAGCTGTGAGGTGGTGGCATTTGGCAGCAAAGATGCTGTTGCTCCTGAAGAATTGCTTTTTAGCCTTAAACATGTACGCAACCTATATACGGGGTGAGTCACTGCAAAACGTAGCTGTAAATTGGATGGCGTTGGTCTGCTACTGTTAAGAACAATCATTCTGTGCGCAGCACCTCAGGGCAGATTTCAAAATGCGCAGAGAAAAACATGTAGCGCTCCAGCTAATTTTACTTGTGTTGTCTACCTGATGGTTTACTCCTACCTTTCTCATGTGTTTTTGCACTGTAGCCTGTTACTTTTCCTAGCAAACGTGTGAATAGTTAGGAGTAGCGGTCAAGGTCAAGGCACATACAGTTGTTCTGCAAGTGTTTGACGTTTGTCGTTGCTCGCGGCGACAAGCCCTGTTGTGCTTGTCAGTGATTGTTCCCTTGCAGAAAAAGGAAAGGTTTCTGCACAAGCATTGCTTTTTCCAGAAAAGCCAAACTTTACTTTAAAAAAAAAAAAAAAAACTGCTTTGGACAAAAAATAAAAGACAATCCAGAAAAGTACACATCTTGAAGAATCTTGGCTGAAAAAGACATTCCTTGGTGATAAACAGACTTTTTTACAGTTTGTCCCAAAATCCAAGACGCCCTTTCTGTGTGTGTGTGTATACTGAGAACTGGATTTCACAATCTCGCTGAGTATGCCTCGTCTCAGAGGCTTTTCTGAGCGTTTTCCGGTATCCGCTTACATAGTCACACCTTGCTGAACAGATATGCTTAGATCTGCGTATAGGCCTTTGTCTAACACATCCGTAGAAGAAGGTGCACGTGTATGGTGGATAATGGAAAGCCTTGAAAGGCCAGTGTTCAAGAATGTGTAGTTGAGGCAAGAGCTCTTAAGGTCATTCTGGGGGCAGATGCTTTTTTTTTTTTTTTTTTTTTTTTAAAAACTACTTCACGTTAACCAGACCTAAAACAGTCTTCACTGAGACTGGGAAACTCATCATTTGGAGCTTATGGAGAAAACCCTGACTATGCTGTCTCTCCTTCCTCTTCAGGTCCAGGCTGAGGTTCCCATCCAGTAAAATCACTCCAGTGCTGAGTGTGGGTGAAGCACATGACAGGGTCCTGTACTCCCTGAGAGAGGGCAGTGCCGTAAGTATGGATCCCTATTATGATCCTTTTGTGATCCTGACCACTGGCCTGTTCGAATGCTGGCTTGGAGTAATCCAGGTGCACAGCGGTCGTGGTTGCTGCAAGCAACCCTAGCTGTGCTGTTGGATAGAGCGAGGTGCAAATCGTGGAAGGTGGTAGCAGCGGGAGGGCTATCTGGACAGCAGAGACCTCACAGGTCTGTTGAGCTCTGGCTATGTACAGCCCATGGCACTAAAGCATTGCTGCTTCTGCAGGTCTCTGACACCCTGTCGCTGGCGGGTATGGAGTCCTTCATTCAGAAGCAGGAGAAGCTGCTGGAGGCAGTGCCCAGCACTGCCCCCGAAGGCGAGGGAGGTAGAGAAGCCAAGGAATTCTGCGTGCACCGGGAAACGGATGTGCTGGGCACATCGCAGCAGGGGACGCATCCGGACGCGGGCGCTGGTGAGCTTAGCCTGTTTGTTAGTGCTTCACCCCTTCTCCCTCAGTGCTGGCACAGCTGGCTCTGCAGCTGCCTGCTGCCAGGATCTGCCTGCTCAGCTTATGAGGTCTTCAGCATGGGGACCTGGTCTCCTGCCTGTTGCACCTTGGTTAGTGAGAAAGCAAAGGGAGCATCTCAAATCCTGTTGGGAGATTGCTCTGGACTGTATTGCTATTGGAAGCACTCAGGTCTTGCACGCACAGCTCCTTTGAGTCACTGTAGATCTTCACCTTAGTGTACCCGGTGCAGTTCCTGCAGGAACACATTTCTTAAGGACAAGTTGCCTAAAACGCTAATGATGTAAAATCAAGCGCTTGGGAACTCACAAATGGCAGAATCGCGTTTTGTAGGTAATCCAAGTTAGCCTTAATGTGTCTCTGCACTGTAAAAGCATCTTTCTGAGATATAAGTTTGGATGAAACTGGTGGGAATAGCAAATCTGTAGTCCCAATTCAAAGACTGACGTTCCCTTTCTGATTGTAGCCCTCTCCCCTGAAGCGCAGAGATGCTGCAGTCTCTCAGAACAGTTACAAGATTATTTTGAACATAAGCAAAACATGTTTAATTTTGTTCTTGGGAACAGCTGAACTGTATCAGCTGGAGCTTTCCAAAAATTTCACTCTAATGGTTCGGTTTGACAAACTCTTGACTGAAAGCATGGGCTTGTGACAGGATGAGTCTGGTACTCTGAGATCTAGCCATGCTACCTGCTTTGCCTATAATTTTTAAACATGTATCCGCAGTTGTTTTTGGCTGCTGGGGAGCAGGACTGTGATCTGAGGTCAGCGCTCTGTACAGAGCGCAAGAGGTGCAGGCTCTGGCAGTTAGCTGGGCTCATATGGAAGCTTTACGTAAATGATGTCAAATGCCTGCAGGTCTGTGATGCCCCAGATCCAAGGCAGGGCAGACTCGTCTAGCGGGATAAGAGGAATGAATGTCTGGGAAGCGGCTTGCTAAAGGCAACCAGTGTCCTATATCTGCTCAGTGGGTGATCTCTTGGAAAACGTTGGCCAGCCACTATCTGAGGAAGGGGACTTGGATGCTACAAGGGGTTGTCTTCGATTGGCCACGTGATACGTTTACAGGCCTGTTCTGCACACCCCATGTGATGCTTAGGGGCCAAGCAGCATATAAGTCACTAGCAAATGAGTGTGTGTGAGGGTCAGAGAGTCATTTTGCTTTCCCAGGTCGCATCACAAGGGATATGTTGGCACGTGTGTGAGTTTTTGTCTTAACTGATGCGTCTGGTTTATCCAGATGTATTTTATCTATCTGTCTGCTGAGACCTGGGCCTGCCACACGATGGCAGCCTGCGGACACCAACCAGAGCCTAGCGCCTGGAAATACTCTGCCCTTTTGAAGAAGGGAAAGGTGCCTTCCTTCCCGCTTGTTTTGGGGGCGCTGCCATCCTGGTGCATGGACTGAGGTTAGATAATCCCTAGTCATAAAATGTTGTCACTCACTCCTGTTAGCCCGAGTTCAGGGAAGTGGGGCGCTCTCTGTATCCTGTAACTGGGCTCCAAAACTCACCATCCTTTTCATATAAACTTTGCACCAAAAGACTAAAGCTGGTCCATGTCTCAGCAGCATGGAGGGGAGCAAACCAGGTCAGGCTGCTGTTGAGCCAAGCGCTGTACAAGGCCTCTCTTGGCGCCAGTCATGCCCCAGAGCTGGGATGCAGCTGGGCAGGATTCAAGAAAAGCTGCGCTTACAGCAGCCATATTCTGGTCTGTTGCCCCCTTTGGAGGGAGGACGGGACTGCTTGGGTGAAAGTAGAAATGAAAGAGTGAGCAGTCTGGGAGAGGGGGATGCCCTGCTGTCCAGGCTAGCTGTGCTGTAGCAGGGCGTTTGCATGTGGCATGGGGCGTTCGGTCGGGGAGAAGAGCATCGCTCGGGCCGTTGGGGAAAAGAGTGAGCTTTCCGCCAGGTTTGCTTAGGCTCTAGAGCTGGTGTCCTCATCTGACCCTCCTCTTCCTCCTGGCAGACTCTGAGACAGCTTTGGCTGACCTGGCCCTGGACTTGCTGCGTCTGCTTCTGATGGATCACTGGAGCTGGCTATGCACAGAGAACATGCAGAAGGCCATCGACCTGCTTTTCGGGACCCTTATTCAAAGGTAAGGCTTCAGCAACCAACCTCATGCTCTGTGGCATTTCCTGTAGTACCTGGAGCAAGCAAGGTGCATACATGCCCCTATGCCTTCTCTTGGGAAACGACCCCCTAGTACCGAGTGGGGACACTGGCAAGGTTTGCTCTTTGGTAGCTTCTCAGGGATGACCTTTCTAGATGACCTGTACCCTCTTCTTTTATGGGGATAGCTTTAAAGAATATAATATCATTGCCTTCTCTTGGGTAAGGCTAGATGTGGTCAGCATACCGCTTCAAATGGAGTTACGGTATAAAATGGAGCTCTTGACTGAATGCAGATAAATGCTATTTGTCAAATCAAACAAGGTTTTTTAAAGAGGATGTCGCCTGTATCTAGAGTGAGCATCCCGGAGATTTGCAGAAGAGGCTGCTTTCCCTGTAAGCAGCAATGTAAATCTAGTGGGCAGCCTCCCTTCTGTTAACAGCTAGAGAAAGAATAGGATTCAGCCATGAGAATGGGAGGTCTCTTGTCCCAGTGAAAGGACAAACATGCCCAGCTCCCTGGCTCTCCAGGGGAGTCCTGAATGGGTCCATGGTCTCTGATGGTTTTTGATAGCAGTAGGGACAGAGGAGACGCCACATTTTGCGGAACGGGACTCAGCTATGCTCTTGATCCCTTGCTGCATAGGGGCAAGACTTATTCCTTCTACGAAAGGGGAATAAGCAGGCACAGCAACAGCAATTTGTCAAGTAACAGCTTGGCGTGCAATCTCCCAGGGCCTCTGCTCTCACCAACATGTCCCTTTCCAGGCTGCAGTAGGCCAGTAGTGCCTGTACCTTGGGCAGTGACCCCCAGATATGTTAGGGCAAGGTTCCTTTCAAGGTGGTGTGTACTTGCCAAGCTTTTCTGAGGTCTATGCCCCTATATGGTAAGGCACCAATCCAAGACATGCAAGCAGAGAGCATTTCTGTTTTCTTGTGTAGGTCATGGGCCATCACTAGCTGAGGACACGGTCGTTTAGAGCAAATGGAAAGCTCTTCCAGAAGGACTGTGGCTAGTGGGCGCCTCGGAGCAGTGTATTTCTCGCTCCTGCTATTTTCTTTGGCAGCAGACGTTCCCCAAGACTGGTGTCAAAAAGTGCAGAGCAGCCTTGTAACCAAGGTGGTAATTTGAGTGGCCCTCAGCAGAGGTTGCTGAAGTGCTTTGAGGTCAGCAGTTACTCCGAAGTCTACTTCCTTGGGTGGGAGTCGGTGGATGTTGCTCCCATTTCTCCAAAACGGGCTCTTGTGTCTCGGGGAATGAACTGGAACTCAGTCCTTATGTGTAAGCATAGAGGTATGAAGGCTTGAGCCTGCACGTCATCCGCTCCCAATAAGCCGAGTCCTAATCACTCGGGGAGGCTGCAGCACTGACACGTGGCTTTGGTATTTTCCACTAGAGAAGCTGTCATACACACAGCACTTGCTTGGCTGCGTAAGCTGGAGGATCTCTGGAAGCATGAGGATGAATGTCTCTAGCCACTCTGCATCAAGGTCTGGGTGAACCTGAATGTGCTGCAAACAAACTTTTGGCTAGAGGTGATGCTAAGAGGTCCCCAGACTTCTTCGTGTCATGGGCACGATTGCCCACAGGGTGCAAATAGCACTTTTCAAGCTAGCCCCGTCTCCCTAGGGCTGTATGTATCCATGTTAAAATCCACATTTTGGCACTGACTCTGGTCTTGTTCCGAGACAACAGGTGTGCAGTTAGGAGAAGTGTGAAGGGCACAGGGGATGGAGCGGCACAGTGTGAACTGACCCACTGTCAGGAAGCCAGTGTTGCTCATGAACTGGTGCAGTGAACGCTACTCCCCTGATTCTGCTGCTGTAATCACCACCCCAACCCAGAAGACTGCGTTAGGGTGGAAATGGAGGTGATGGAGGGTGACAGGCTGTATTAGTGGTTCACGAAGCCCATGCAGCAGGCTGGGAGAGGGGCAGTCAGCAAGCAGTTGGTTTCTGCTTCTATAATGAAAGGAGTGATCTGATAGGAGAGCAGAGCTCAGTTACAGTGCCCAAGATGGATGTTCAAGACCAGGGATGAAAATAGCCCTGTAGATAGTGGAGGAGAGTTAGGAACAGGGGGGGCTCCACACCTGCTTACCATGGCGCTCTGTCCCCTCCCGCGGTACGTGAGCCATGCAGAAAGGTGACACATGTCTTGCACCCGTAGCTGACCCAGGTGGATATTCTGCTGTCCAAGTAAAAGGCCTGAGCAGATACGGAGGTCTCTGGCTCAGACCTGCTGCCAACTGCCTATCCAGGGATACAGCAGTGATTTGGTGGCATTTCTCTTCCATTTAAGCATTTGCAACTTGATCGCCTCTAGGCCAGACGTGGCACAGCCCTGGCATTCTGGCTGGCACTGTGTCTGGGTACTTGGTACAGGTGGAGAAAATACCGTAAGCTGTTTTGGGAGCATGAGCTATGCAGAGCGTTATTGCTTCTGCCTCTGAGAAGAGGCTGACAAAAACAGGAGCAGCAGTGGACACGCATCCTGTTTCCCACTGTGGCCAGTTGCAAAGTGCAAGTAGGAGTCATCCCTCCTTGAGATGAGGTCCTTCTTCGTTCCTGCTAGTGGCTGGGTTATGTGATGGGTGTTAGAGAGGAGGTGTAGCAGTGTTTTGGGTGTTAGGAAGGGGGTTGCTGCTGGAGACTCCTCTTCCAGCTTGTTTGGAGAGGCGTGTTGCTGCTGCTGCAGCCTTCTTGTAGCTGCCTCTGCGGGCATTGCTACCATTTTGCAGCAGATGTGGAAAATTGCTTCTTTGCGGAAGACATAGGGCAAGCGGTGTGGACGCGCCTGCCCCTGTTCCTGCCTCGTTCCAGAGCAGCAAAATGGAAGGACGTGGAGAACGAGATCCAACTTCTCCGGAGAGCCAATTCCCCTTTCTTTTGGGGACTTTCTCCTTTGGGCCTCCAGTGGCCACAGCATCCCTCGTTGCTTCCCCTGTGGTGACATCAAGTGACTGGTGTTACCTGGCTGTTGCTGGTCAGTGAACTGACTTCCCTAGCCTGCTCTGTTTGCTGTTCCCTGCAGGAAGTATCCCACCACGCTCCTCTCTCCCCTTTTCTACGTGGCTGAAATAGTTGTAGCTGGAGCCAGGCATTATCCGTCTCCCCTGACTGTCAGTTTGATGGCAGCAGGGAGGCCGGGGAGAGGAAGGCTGTATGACCGAAAAAGGTATTGTTAAGTAAAAGGGAGGATGTGTGTGCATGTCTGCATCCGTGTGGCGCTCATCCCGTTATGTAACAGGGAGTGATCCTTTTTTGGAGCCGAAAGGAGAAGCGAGGGGAGGGAAGACGGAGGCGCCGGGAGGCTCACTGGAAGTGGGGACAACCCTGGGGCCAAGAAAAAATTCCAGCAGCCTCTTTGCACGCTGGGTCCGTGCCTGTAAACAAACAAACCCTGCTGCCCCGCTCTGGCTCCACACCCCTCCTCTGTCCGACTGTCTTCCCTCCCTCGCGTTGGGAAAGAAAATCTCCCTGCTGTAGCAGGGATGGGAGGAACGCTGCAGTGGGAGCCTGTTTGCGATGGGGAGTAGATGGGCCTATTCTAGGCCCTGAGGGTGTTTGGCAAAAGAGCTAAAAGCGTTTAGAGAATTCAAGTGCTTTTTAGAGCCTGTGAGTCAATGTGATGTTAAAAATACAAGGCAAGCACTCGAACCACGCCGTGGCTGTGACCCCGCACCGTGCCCTCAATCTATCCCTGATGGCATGCTGGTCACTAGGTCAGGGGTCTGCGACTGCCACGACGAGCCCAGGGCAGCCGCGGAGCCGGGGGCACAGCCGCCAGGTAGCAGCTCGCCTTGCCTTTTGCTGGGCTGGTTGGTGGTGAGGGAGCCAGCCTTCTGCTATGGTTTATCCGGGACAAAACAAATCCTCCTGACTGAGAGATGTAGAGTGAGGTGAGGGCTGGAAGGCTGCCTGGGGAGCCCAGAGCCACTTTGTGGAGCTGCCTAAGGAGCAAGGTGTGTGAGATGCCAAGTTGCCCTCAGTTGCCAGAGTCCCTGGAGAGAGCAGCTACTTTTGGCATGTTTTAAATGGAGGTCAGGCAGCTCATGGGGTCTGGCCATCGTAACGTGGTGAAGCTGCTGCAGGAACAACTATGCCTGAAGGCCCTGGAGCACCTACTCTTCTGTCTTCTCTCTCTCTCGTATGCCCCCGTGGTTCCTCTGGGAACCTGTCCGTGTGCTCGCTGCCTGCCCCCCAGCCAATCTGTCCAGCCTTTGGGGATGGCAGAGGGGTAGCACTGACCATATATTGCTGGTTTCAGCCACCTGCATGTGGTGTTTTGCTCTCTTTCTGTGTTAGACCTTCTTCTGAGCCAGAATATCCTTTGCTTCATCCTGAACCACATCTGCTTCCAAGTGCAAGACTCTGGAGGGGAGCCCAAACTTGAGTCTCAGGATCCTGGGAGTGATCCTAGGAGGATTTTAGATGCAGATCTAGATTTGAAGGCTTTCGCTAGGCTCTAGCGGTAGCTTTGTGTGGTATAACTCCTTGAGCGGGCCCCCTCACTGTCCCTTCCCGTGCATCTCAAGAGAAAGACGCTTTAATGCAAGGCATTAAGCCAAGGGATCGTATCTTGTCATATCCTGGCCGTCTGCGCTCAGTAACCCGAGTTGGGCGGGAGCGCAGCGTCCGTGCCAGGGCTCGGAAGTGCGTGCGTATATAAGGAGAGCGTGTGGGCCTACGCGAGCAGCTTTGATGGTGTCATGTTCCACCAGACTTGGTAAGGGGCGCAGAGCTGGAGTTAAAATAAATGCAAAGTATCCCTGCCTTACCCGGGAGCTCAGCATTACTTGGCTCACTGTTCACTTCAGGTCACTCTCATGCTCCTCCAGGCTTCGTCCCCTGTCCCAGTCCTCAGGGAACCTCTTTGTTAAATAGGAACTGGCTATGAGGAGCTGCTTTACCCTGACAAGCACTCTCCTCTGTCAAAGCCACAGTACTTGGAAGAAAAAGAGGAATAAACTGTGGCTGGGGATG